AGTGATTGTAGTCACACTGTTAATCTCACAAATGGAATGAGTTAAATTTTGTCTCTCACTAATAAACTCTTTAAATCTCCTTTTGTTTGTCGTCAGTATCTCATCAACTCATAAGCTAGCTACATGACTTTAGATAGTCAATCTTAACTTTGGGGGAAGCCTCTGGTAATTTAGTTTGATGAAGTTGAGTTTGAATTTTGGTATAACCATTATATTAATGTAATAATTTCTTATTTCAGTTTGTGAAGAGTGCAATTTTGAGTATATGTCTGAGTGCCCATTACATGGCCTTTTTCCAGTTAAAGATCGAAAAGTAAGAATTTAATAATTTTATATGTAGTGTCTTTAGTTCACTCAAAAATATTTAGAGCAAATCAAATGCATTAGATTTGATTGACATTTGGGAGCTTCTTCATCAAATTCTTTATAGTTAAACAAAAACTCTTTTCCAACCAGGTTTTTGTCTCAAATTTGACTGACTGACATTTCACTGCATTAAAAAAAAAAAAATAAACTCCAAAAGAAACTTGTAAATAATCTTTAAATTTAAAGCAGTCTGATAGCAATTATATTCATTGGAGTAGAAAAAAATTATTTAAAGTCAAATCAAATATAGGCCTACATCTTATACCTCATATTAATCAAAAGAAAGTTGTTTCACTAATTTCCCACTTGTTTATAAAACATTAAGAAGTTATTAAAAAACAAAATATAAATTTAAGTTGGTTAGGCTAATGCCTATATCTATACAAAAAATGCATTTATTTCAATTTTATTTACTGTACATAATATAATTTATATGCTACCCGGTACCTAATAAGTTAACAGAAGGAAGGGAAAAAGGTAGGCATAAGTCATTGAAAACTTGAGAAGAAAAGAAGAGAAAGGATGTGGGTGGAAGTACAGTTTAAAACAAAACAGAAAACAATATTGAAACTGTTTAAAGTGTGAAATTTGGTGAACTTAAGAATTCTTTAATCAAATTTGGTGAACTTAAACAATTCTTTAATCTAATTTGGTGAACTTACCAATTCTTTCATCTAATTTGGTGAACTTAGCAATTCTTTCATCTAATTTGGTGAACTTAGCAATTCTTTCATCTAATTTGAGGATGCCACTTGCAAAACCTGCTGAGTCACTTTTTTGGGAAAAAAATGAGTTATCAATTGTGGCTGGTTCTTTAAGTGTCAATCTCCAGTGTGTTTGTTGTGTGTAGTTTAATGACTGTAATCTATAACTTCATTTAATTCTAAAATGTCACCATAACTATATATTCACTATAGAGATAGTTTACACAGACAGCTTCTTCTCACAATCAACTTGAAGTTATTTAGCAGGCTTTGCAAATGGACTCCTCATTTATTTTCAATACAATCCCTTGCAAGGGTACTCTGAGCATACATTATACCAGTAACTACTACATCTGATATCCCACAGTTACCACTGTTGTTAGCACTGTTTGTTGTTACCACTGTTGTTAGCACTGTTTGTTGTTACCACTGTTGTTAGCACTTTGTTATTACCACTGTTGTTACCACTGTTTGTTGTTACCACTGTTGTTAGCACTGTTTGTTGTTACCACTGTTGTTACCACTGTTTGTTGTTACCACTGTTGTTACCACTGTTTTAAATGTTTCAAATGGGACAGAATTCTTGTTTTTTTTATATTGGGACTTGTGCTAGAAATAATTAATTATTCAATCCATAATTCTGCATGCTTTACAAGCTCTGGTGCCAATGTGTGCTTAATAACATGGCGATAGCCTCTAACAAGCATGTTTCTAAGGTTTCAGTCCCTGCCTATACTATATGTGCTTAATAACATGTCAATAGCCTCTAAAAAGCATGTCTCTAAGGTTACAGTCCCTGCCAATATGTGCTTAATAGCATGGCAATAGCGTCAAATAAAGCAAGTCTCTAAGGTTACAGTCCCTGCCAATATGTGCTTAATAGCATGGCAATAGCGTCAAATAAAGCAAGTCTCTAAGGTTACAGTCCCTTCCTATATGTGCTTAATAGCATGGCAATAGCGTCAAATAAAGCAAGTCTCTAAGGTTACAGTCCCTGCCAATATGTGCTTAATAGCATGGCAATAGCGTCAAATAAAGCAAGTCTCTAAGGTTACAGTCCCTGCCAATATGTGCTTAATAGCATGGCAATAGCGTCAAATAAAGCAAGTCTCTAAGGTTACAGTCCCTTCCTATATGTGCTTAATAGCATGGCAATAGCGTCAAATAAAGCAAGTCTCTAAGGTTACAGTCCCTGCCAATATGTGCTTAATAGCATGGCAATAGCGTCAAATAAAGCAAGTCTCTAAGGTTACAGTCCCTTCCTATATGTGCTTAATAGCATGGCAATAGCGTCAAATAAAGCAAGTCTCTAAGGTTACAGTCCCTGCCAATATGTGCTTAATAGCATGGCAATAGCGTCAAATAAAGCAAGTCTCTAAGGTTACAGTCCCTTCCTATATGTGCTTAATAGCATGGCAATAGCGTCAAATAAAGCAAGTCTCTAAGGTTACAGTCCCTGCCAATATGTGCTTAATAGCATGGCAATAGCGTCAAATAAAGCAAGTCTCTAAGGTTACAGTCCCTGCCAATATGTGCTTAATAGCATGGCAATAGCGTCAAATAAAGCAAGTCTCTAAGGTTACAGTCCCTGCCAATATGTGCTTAATAGCATGGCAATAGCGTCAAATAAAGCAAGTCTCTAAGGTTACAGTCCCTGCCAATATGTGCTTAATAGCATGGCAATAGCGTCAAATAAAGCAAGTCTCTAAGGTTACAGTCCCTGCCAATATGTGCTTAATAGCATGGCAATAGCGTCAAATAAAGCAAGTCTCTAAGGTTACAGTCCCTGCCAATATGTGCTTAATAGCATGGCAATAGCGTCAAATAAAGCAAGTCTCTACTCTCTAAGGTTTTTGTCCCTCTAATGTGAAAAAGTTTTTTTTTAAAATGCATAATCGGTCACCGGTTGCACCATAAGGATGGGCCAGTTGTTGCAAAGGATGGTCAATTAATTTGGACCTTTCAACAATGTATTTAATTTATATAATTCTAATATTTTTATTTCATGAATTAGTGATGCAAACACACTTCCATTAGCTCCTAATCTTATTCGGCTAGAAGTTGAGGTTTTGTGTGAACTTTTAATTGCAATCAGAACTGAACACAAATGTAATAAATAAAAGACTTACTTTTGTAAGGCAACATTAACTTACATTCTGAAAAAGATTTTTTAAAGCCACCTACGTGTTGGTAGAGAACATAAAGTTTTTTGGACCTGGTCTTCTGCAACTTCCCGTCATTTGCAATTTACAGCACAGCACAGAAATATTTTGCTATTTTTAATTTGTGGGTAAAAAGCTAGTACAACATCATAGTCCAATGGTTTAACAAATGTCTTTCTTTAATAAGACCTGATGTCAGCAGTTTCCATTGTAAGAATACAAAATAATTTTATTTCATGTGATAAAAAATAAAGTCAGACTTTTAACTTTGCACATAGTTTAAAACAAGTTTAAATTTCCCACTCATTAAACGCAGCATTTAATAAAATAAAGTCTTTAAAATGTTTAGGTCTCCCCAGATTGTGAGAAAGGTTTGGACTTGAGCTACTGTTGGAAAACTTTGCCTGAAGGACTTGGCATTAAGAAATCAAAAATCCGAGGTGCTGGTCTTGGAGTTGTAGCTACTAAATTTTTTCCATTTCAAACCAGATGTTGGAAAGAAAGAGAAAAATGAAGAGGTTGCCCATGAGTCTGGCTATAGTTGGCAAGTAAGTCATGGGTAGCAAGCAACAACTGTGTCAAGTAATATGTCACATTTACAATTTCTAAATAATATAAAAATCTTTATTTATGTATAGCATAAAACATATATAGAACTGATATATGCAGCTTACTATTAGCATTTCCTGTGTCGCTCATATGCAAAGGGCTGCTGCCTTTAATGAAATAGTAGAACAAGGTATGTTGAAGCTTGAATCAAAAGACAGGACAAAAAGATGTGAACGTTTTGGTGAAAAGTAAGCCTTCTTCAGGGAACAGGACAAATGAAAATATGGAAGAAGAGAGCACGGTAAAAAAAACTTAGAGATCTCCTTTGTTGTAATGTTGTCTGAAGTATGATTACAGGAAGTGAAAGAATGTAAATTTTGGTACTGTGAAAAATGAAGTCCAGAATCTTATGGACCAAAATATATATGGATACATAAAATCAAAGAAAAAAAAAGAAATCCAGGGAAATTGAGAAACATTAGTAGGTGAGTATTTGATTAATACCATATGGAGATATGGTGCCAAAAAGCTGAATAAATTTGTTGTGGAAACATAATCTGATTAGCTCTTGTTACATTGAATGGTTAATCCATTTATTCTCTTCCTGGGTATCTACCACTCACACTCTCACAGGTCCATCAGTATCTACTACATATTATTTATATATTTTAATAAAAAGCATATTTCTTTGTTCTTGGTTTTCCCCATTTACCCACTGAACCATCAATGGTCTGTACACTGAACCATCAATGGTCTGTACACTGAACCATCAATGGTTTGTACACTGAACCATCAATGGTCTGTACACTGAACCATCAATGGTCTGTACACTGAACCATCAATGGTCTGTACACTGAACCATCAATGGTCTGTAGATATGCAGATGGTCAGAGGGGTGCTAATCATTTTAGCAGAATAAATCCTATGTCACTTTCAAACAGCTTTTGCTGTGCAGTGTTTAATAAAAAGTAGATATTATTTAACTAGTGTGATGAATTTTATTAAGATAATATAAGCATTTCTCATTAAATTGTGTGAACCCCTTTATTATTTACCCTTATATTGAAAAGTGACTTGTGAAATATGCAAAGCATTTTTGCCTGAAACCAGGAGTTGGATATATTTATTTGACAGTAATTTTTTTAAGCTGTATTTAAAATATTTGCCTTGATTCCTTAAATTTTCACTGATAATCTCATCATATCTTTAACATATTTAGATCTATAAAGGTGGCAAGCCTTCTCACTTTGTTAATGCCAGTGACCCAAGTGACTCTAATTGGATGAGATTTGTCAACTGTGCTAGGCATCAAGACGAGCAGTGTGTAACTACCTACCAACATGGAGGAGAAATCTATTACAGAACTCACAAGGATGTTCACCCTGGCACAGAAATACTGGTGAGTCATTGAACCAAGATGGCTGCCGTGGCTGTTTATTGAAACTGCTTGCATTAACTTTAAGGCCATCTTTGCTAAACAAGCCATTATCAGTTTTGAATGCATAGCTTATTAGATAAGGGACTATCAATATAATAAGTATGCACTGATTTGGGGAGGCGGTTGTTGATTTTGTGTATGCCTGGGTATGGGCCAGAGGGATGTCGACAAATTATGTACATTTATGGCCCAGGGAGGGGGTGTCTTGGCAGAAAGTATGTACATTTATGGCCTGGGGGTGTGTGTCTCTCAGCTGACATTATGTTCATTTATGGCTGGGGGGGGGGTCATCAGAAATCCTGCGATAATGTTCCTTAAATTCTGATAGTCCATTTATATATTTAATGCTTTACAAATATCATCTAAAGCAGTGGTTCTCAAACTTTTTCGTCTACCGCCCCCTCGAAGGTCATAAACATATCCCTGACTCCCCTTCATCTTAATCCATTAAAAAATGTTCAGAATATTATTAGTTTTGCACATGCTTTTAAGGAAAATTATAAAAAAAGAAGCAATGAAAAAGTGTAGATTTATTTGAAAATTCACAAAGAAAGTTAATTAGCTTCCCATGTTAGGAATTTTTATACTAGGATAATAATAAATCAAGAATTTTACAAATGACACTTGTTATTAGTAACTAACTTTAACTGTTCCAATGTTCTTAATGCATTGGGTGGGCTTAGTGAAGTGATTTCAGTTTTTCAATGCCTATTTGAAAGCCATTTAACAAAACTCTTAGTGGCCTGGTTCAGTAATCTGGAGACTATTTCTTTGCTTGGGGAAAAGTTGAACAACACCACTAAGACCAGATTCAACCAACTATGATTTTGGAGAGGCAACAAGAAGTTTCTTGGATTTTTCCATTAAACTGGAATTTTAATCAAAAGTAAATCACTCTGACATATCTTTATGCAGAATATCCAAATTGTTACAAAATAATTCAAGATCATTATCTGGTATCCCACCTTTTTTCTCTTCTAGTTCAGACCTGCTTGAAACGACGGTCCAATATTGCGTTTGAATGGAATTAATTAAGATAAAAATTTAGACATAATTTAATTGTTTTTTTATAAGATTAGCCTTATTACATTGCATATTTTAAGTTATTTGATTGAATTAAGCAAATTTATCTGATAAATATTAAATTTAGCTGATTTTAATGCTGGTGTGTAATGACTGCTGCTAGCAATAACAACACTAATGCTGGTTTGTAATGACTGCTGCTAGCAGTCACAACACTAATGCTGGTTTAAACTTTGTTTAAATTGTTCACTCCCTTTCTACCATTTTTATTCTGAAAGTAATTAATTTTAAAAAGTTTTAATTAAATCATTTCCTAATAGCTACTCCATCACCAGACGCTACGAAACAATTAAAAATCAAATTACATAGTTACACAATTATCAACAAAATCTAATAAAAGTTTGTCAATGCATACTTATTATATTTATATTCAATGGGAAAAATTTTTAGATTTAACAAATATTCTTAAAATTAACATCTTTTTAAGTTTTTCTTTTCTTAAAAAAAAAAAGACTTAACAAAATATTTGTTTAATGTGACAAACAAGTGAAATTTTTTGTTATTTGTATCATTCTTTTCTAAAAAAATTCAAGTTAAAACACCATGCTCTATCAGTATTGTTTTCAATAAATAAAGCATTGTCTGAACCTCTAGGGGATTTAGCATGTGCTTGATTAAAATTTAGTGGTGTCAAAAATGAGGTGTATTTTTATCAAGGAATTGATCTATTGATGTACCAATCATAACCTAGGGCTTAGATCCTAAAATGCTAACCTACTACAATACGTAGAAAATAATCACATTCATATGGACCAAGAGGGTAAAGAAGCGCTTCAGTATTCTCTGATAAGAAGTTCTAAGCAATTGCCCCATTTGTTCTCTAGACTGTTCTATATGTTGTTGTCAATTGTCAGGTGTAAAATGGTGACAGATTATTTAATTCAATGTATTTGTACCAGGTATACTATGGTGACAGTTATGCCAAGGAGTTAGGAATAAACATTCAGGTTGTTGGCAAAGTTAGCAGAAAGAGGTCAGCACAGTCAAAGGTACTCGACCCTGTCATTCCAACAAGCAATGGTTGTGTGCATGACCCTAGTCAGGAGGATAGAGGTTGTAGTCCATCAGCACCAGTTGAGGGTACCGGTATGCACATATTTGTATAATTTAGAGTACTTGGTGTTACTTGCATCTTGTAAACACAATATACAAAGACTTTTGGCTGCCAATTGTCATTTTTTAATAATTGTACTTATAGAAACAAAGTCATATAATTTCAATGGTCCAATCTGATTTTATATTTGTTTGTTTGATCATGTTGATTACCAGTAGTTAATTTAAATAACTAATTACCTTTAACATTGTCTTACAGATATTTTCAAGTGCAAATTTTGTACAATTGCATACTCACATCAAAGGTACCTTGAGACTTACTTGAGAAGAAAACACTATGATGACTATTGGAAAATGAAACAGGTGGAAATATTCAGAGAACAGACTGGCCAATCTAATGGTGTGGAAAAATATCCATTGCAAAGAAGTCTAAAGAAGAAAGAAACTTCACCTCTGAGAGTCAGACAAATCAAACAGAAAAGAACACATTCAGGAGAAAAACCTTTCAAATGTGGTGTCTGTGGGAAAGCTTTTACGGAGGCTTGTAACCTATCTCAACACAAAAGAACACATTCAGGAGAAAGACCTTTCAAATGTGATGTATGTAAGAAAAGTTTTTCACGAGCTCATCACTTAACTCAACACAACCGTACACATTCAGGAGAAAAACCTTTCAAATGTGATTTCTGTGGGAAAGGTTTTACAGCAACCAGTAGTCTATCTCAACACAAAAGAACACATTCAGGAGAAAGACCTTTCAAATGTGATGTCTGTAAGAAAAGTTTTTCACAAGCTTTTCACCTAACTCAACACAACATGACACATTCAGGAGAAAAACCTTTCAAATGTGATGTCTGTGGGAAAGGTTTTACACGAACTATTGATCTAACTCGACTCAAAAGGACACATTTAGGAGAAAAACCTTTCAGTTGCGATTACGCGGAAACGCTTTTACGCCAACTATAACAAACCATATGTATAGCGGAAACGCTTTTACGCCAACTATAACAAACCATGTATAGTGACAAAGGGATGGCACACATCTTACTTGACATGGCAACAAGGCAAAGACTTACTTGACATGGCAACAAAGCAAAGACTTACTTGACATGGCAACAAGGCGAAGACTTACTTGACATGGCAACAAGGCAAAGACTTACTTGACATGGCAACAAGGCAAAGACTTACTTGACATAAACATGTTACATCTTGCTTTTTTTCAACAGCAGACAATCCTGGTACTACATTTCAACTACACAGTTATAAACACTAACTGCTGCAAACATTAATTTTCTAGAGTGTCCTAGCTCCCTTTTTAGTGTCATGGGAAATTCTGCCTAACATAGCCGAATTTTAATCTGAATTATGTGCCAGTTCCTTGTAGAATGAATTAGAAAAAAAAAGTTTTTTAAAGTATTCTCTTTTATCACTTGTTTTGACTTGGACTTGTTTATTTTATACACTTGGACTTGTTTATTTTATAGACTTGGACTTTTGTTTATTTTATAGACTTTGACTTTTTTTATTTTATAGACTTGGACTTTTGTTTATTTTATAGACTTGGACTTTTTTTATTTTATAGACTTGGACTTTTCTGTTCCTTGTATATTTTATGTAGCTGTTCAGACAGTGTCATTGATTTATCTTATTACTATTACTATCAATGATTTGGCTATACAAAAGGCCTACTTGAAAATATTCTTTCTATTACTTATGTGCACAGCACATGGAAGATCATCTTTATGTTGATGAAATCATCAGCTTTCCTTTGCATGTCAAATACAAATTAAAACTGTTTTGTATAATAAAATTGATCCGTTGCTTCTACTCTTTTGCATCCTGTGTGTTATGGGGGTCAGCACATTGCTTGTTTAGTAATAATATGCTTAATTAGAGACTCTTCATAAAGGATGGACTCATAAGACTATATATATTTGTTAAATTATTAAACATTTGTCTTTTATATTTTATATAAATAAAATTGAAAGTTTGTTTGTATTACGTTTCTACATGGATTGATGGATCATGACTAAACTTGGCACATATATCCATCATCTACACATCTGTACCTAGTTAGGGGAATGGAAAATTTTAATGTACTTCCGGCAATAATATTAATGCAGAACACTGAAGTTTAAAAAAAAAAAAAAAAATTTTTTTAAATTTCTTGTTATTTCTTCATGTGTCCTGTCAGTTGAGGTAGGCTCTTGGCCGAAACGTTCTTCTTTTATTGTCTTGTCTTTCTATTTCAAAAGTACACTTTCCTTGTACTGCTATTTCCTTCAACTTTAATAATACAGCGTGAAATCACTATAGCTGTAACTATAAACTGAACTGTTCTAGGGCGCCATCAAGTAACCATTTGTAAAAGCTTTTGCAAACAGTTATTTATTAATTAAGTTAGAAGTTATACACAAGCATGTTAACAATGTTAGATGTTGCGATGACCCTATTATTAAATCATGGGGTACAATGGCGAACAATTTTATGAACCTCTGGCCTACTTACACCAAAAGGCACCATTCAAGTGTCCATGATAATTGATACAAGGGAAACTACCAGCACCATTCAAGTGTCCATGATAATTGATACAAGGGAGACTACCAGCACCATTCAAGTGTCCATGATAATTGATACAAGGGAGACTACCAGCACCATTCAAGTGTCCATGATAATTGATACAAGGGAAACTACCAGCACCATTCAAGTGTCCATGATAATTGATACAAGGGAAACTACCAGCACCATTCAAGTGTCCATGATAATTGATACAAGGGAAACTACCAGCACCATTCAAGTGTCCATGATAATTGATACAAGGGAAACTACCAGCACCATTCAAGTGTCCATGATAATTGATACAAGGGAAACTACCAGCACCATACAAGAATCCATGATAATTGATACAAGGGAAACTACCAGCACCATTCAAGTGTCCATGATAATTGATACAAGGGAAACTACCAGCACCATTCAAGTGTCCATGATAATTGATACAAGGGAGACTACCTGCACCATTCAAGTGTCCATGATAATTGATACAAGGGAAACTACCAGCACCATTCAAGTGTCCATGATAATTGATACAAGTGAGACTACCAGCACCATTCAAGTGTCCATGATAATTGATACAAGGGAGACTACCAGCACCATTCAAGTGTCCATGATAATTGATACAAGGGAAACTACCAGCACCATTCAAGTGTCCATGATAATTGATACAAGGGAAACTACCAGCACCATTCAAGTGTCCATGATAATTGATACAAG